AAAAAAATTATTATATTGCTATTTTTTTTGTTTGATTTGTTTTACTTATTGTTGTGTTTTATTTATTTATTTATTTATTTATTTTTTTTGTTAGAATTCAAATCGCACTTTTATTCATGATTATCCAAATAGCAATATAATTACTACCATCTATTATGAAAGTGGTTGCAAATCTCATTCGAGAAAGTACATTATTCATTCGTTAGGTATTTATCCTTCCAATGTAAAAAAAACAAAGAGAACATCAAAAAATTGCCCTGAATATGAAATACCAGATAATTATAAAGTTGAAACAACTTTAGAAGGGTATGACATTATTTGTGAAACAAATTATTCATCTAATGGGACGGTAAAGTTTATACTTAACTGGAAAGATTCACAAGGTATTGATCGATATATCTCAAATAATAATTCTGCATCGGGTGTTGGCAAAGACTTTTTAATGGTAATTTATTGAATTTTTATATTTAATCATTTTTATTTTGTTCATTATTTATATTGAATTTGTTTGTTAATTGTATTTTATTTTATTTTATTTTTTTTTTTTAAAAAAAAAAAATATTTAGCTATTAAATAAAAAAACTCGTATTTCTGGAACTATTCTATTTGGTTTTGATATTCCTTGTTTAATTGAAGCACTAAAATCTATTTTGATACCTATCAATTGTAAAAATTCTTTCACTGCTCTTACATCACGTTCACAACAAAACAAGTGTATAAAATTACTAGCTAAAGATATTGAAAGGGCATCACAAATAATTTTAAAACAACAAAATTTTGATAACACAAAAATTTGATATATTGAACTTGAAATTGGTGATGAAATAGTTGGGATTGATCTATCAAAAGTTAATTTAGATTTTACTAGAATTCGTCAGGACGTGGTTGTTTGTGCATGTGATGAAGCACTAATACCAAGAGATGGGTATAGACATTTGGCAGCTATTAGTCCAAATCTTGAAAGAGAATATCAAATTAGTAATAGGCGAAATGAAATTTCTAAATATATGGAAACAATCATTCCAATTTATAATTGTAAAATAGAATTAGATAATGTACAAAATAATTCTAATAATTCTTCTAATAATTTTTCTAATAATAATTCTGTAAATTCTAATTTTTCTTTAACTAATGATCAAAGTGGAATTTGTTCTTATCGTTCTATTAAAGATTTATTAAATACTTTGATACCAATTTGGAAAAAAAAATCAATTTTAAATATTGGCGATAATATTAAATTAAAATTTGGTGGTGACTGTCATATAGTTACAAATAAATATTCTCACGTTATGTTTACAATGTGCTTACTTAATGAAGGAGATGAAGTATTAAAACCTGATAAACAATATTGGTAAAATCTATTTTTATTAAATAAATGTAATTTATTTATTGTATTCTAATTTTAAATTTTATCAAGTATCCTATTATACATAGGTAAAGAACAATATGAAAAACTTTCTATTGCGGTCTCAAAATTCAGTAATGAATTAGATTCTTTAAAAAGTGCTGGATTTATTGACCAAGATAACATTACATGGAGCATTGAATTTTACTTTAGTGGGGATTGGAAATTTATGGCTCTCGTTAAAGGATTAAAAGCAGCAAATTCAAAATATTTTTGTTTATTTTGTGAATGCCCAAAAGATTTACGTGGAAACTTAAATTTACAATGGAATATTTCAGAAAATAAGAAAGGTATTTATTTGATAGTTTATTTATATAAAAATTGATATTGATAAAAGAGTCTGTGATAATAATTCTACTATTACTAATATTGCAAAAGGTTGAATTTATTTAGGTATTGAACATCCAAGTCTTTTTCCAATAATCGAACTTGATCATTGGATCCCTGACGAATTACATGTCATGTTAAGAATAACTGATGTTTTAATGGATTGTCTATTCTTAGATTTAATGATCGATTTAAATGAATTTAAAAAGGCTACCAAAATTTTAATTGAAAAGGAAATGCAAAGAATTGGTTTGACACATTTCCAGTTTTTTGAATCAAAATTCAAAGGAAAGTCTTGGGATTGGACATCTTTGACTGGACCTGATAAATTGATAATGTTACAACATTTTGATGTAACAAAATTTATTGCTGTTGATCGTGGAAGAAAAATATCATTTTTATGGAAAGAATTCTTTAGTTTATATCAATTTTTATGCAAGGATTCATTTACTGATGCTGAAATTGACTCTTTTGAGGTTAATGCGAAAAATTGGATCAAGTTGTTTTGTGAACCTACTATCTGAAAATCAAATTCTATCAATCAAAAGAGAGGCATGTTTAATCCTACTGATATAACTCCATATATGCATATTTTTGTATTTCATATTCCAGAATTTTTAAGGAAATTACAACATAAAGGATTAAATATGAGACAGTTTTCTACTTCAAGTATAGAAAAGAAAAATCATTTACATGTATGATTTAATTGTAACTTAATTGCTTGGCGTTAAATTACTAATTATTTATTTTTTTATTTTTAGGTGAAATTATTTTTTGGGGGGACAACTATGGGAGGAAGAAATAATAACAACAATCATTCCGTTTTACATGATATCATGTCGTTTGAAAATAGACAATTATACTACTTAATTAATGATACACCCCGATGTATTAAACAAAGAATCATCCGTTCAAATCCTTGATTTTTTATATAATTATAAAAAAATAAAAAAAAAATTATAAAATATTATACAACTAATATAAAATATCTTTTATTGTGAAAAATATGAAAGATTATCGAAAAATTTTATTCTATTGTTAGCTTTTATAAATGACATTTTAACAATATGAGAAATTTTATAACGTAAAATAAGAAAAACATATATACAAAATTAAATGTTAATTTCTAAATAAAAATTTGGTTCTATATTTTAAAAATGGAATTAATTTTAATAAAACAAATTATTATTAGCTTTAATTAAATAAAACGTACCATTATTTGAGTTATCACTCATAATACATTCTTCGCATTTCTTAAAAATGTTTGCATTAGTATCATCCTCTTGACTTTTAACAAAATAACCGGCATAAATTGTAAAAGAAACCACCAATTTTGGACTATGTAAAATTAAAGGTTTTTTGCCATCACGAATTCTTGTTACTACAAAATCAGACCAAATAAAAGTTACATCCTTTTTCCGCTTTTCATTCTCCATAAACACATAAGCCTTTGTTCCGCTAACGTGATTTTTTTCTCCCCAATCTTTACAATCAAATAAGTATCCTAATCGGTTATATCCTGCTTCTCCTGTAAATACGCATTTATATTTTTTTAAATAAGGTATATAGGTGAAGCTTTCCTCATTAGAAAAAATTTTAACAAATAATTCTTCACTAAATGGTTCTCATGTCAATTGCCTGACTCCACTTTTGGAACGGTGATATGAAAGCTTTTTTTCAATTCTGACTAGCAAGGAACTCCAAAAACTTCGAACTTGAGTATCAGAAATACTATCAAGTAAAAGTTGTTGTATATGTGGAATTACGTGATTATTGGGATGTAGTTGTTTTTGGTGTAAAGAAAGTTTAGTTTTTGTATAGAGACGGGTTGAATTGTCAGTAAATTGACATAAAGAACACGTAGTTTTATTAAAAGAGCTTTTTTTATTCTTGGCGTTCATTGTTCTAAAGAATAAAAATTAGACCTGTTTCACAAATCACGGTAATTTTGATTTTCAAATAATTAGCCAATCATATCCAAATTTTGAGTTATCATAATAATCACGATTTTATCACATTGTTTTGCCATGTGACATTTGGTTTATGCGTCAGATTAGCCCATATGTCAGGCTATAAAATAATATGTGGTAAGTTACGTAATATTATTACAGTTTACCCTTCCTATAGCGAATTTTTATATAACGAATCACGTGACGCTTAGCCAATAAAATATGTCAATTTTCCCTCGCTATAACGAAGTA